TATATATAAAAACTTCTTATTGTTTCATTAATCTACTTGTCTGTCTTCACACCAGTATCACAATGTTTTGATTACTGTAACTTTATAATAAGTCTTGAAATCTGGCAATATTAGACCTCCAACAATTGTTTCAAAATGGTCTGCTTCTTGTAGGTCCTTTGTATTTCCATATGAATTTTAGAATCAGCTGGTCAATTTCTACAAAACACCCACTGGGATTTTGACTGAGATTGCATTACATCTAGAGGCCAGTCTGGGGAGAACTGCATCTGAAAGATGACCCATGAGCACAGTGTATCTCTCCATTCATTTATACCCTCTTTCATTTCTCCTAGCAATGATTTACAGATTTCAGTGTACAGATCTTGAACAGCTTTTGCCATATTTATCCCTAAGGATTTCCTATTTTTGATGCAATTAAAAATGGGTTTGAGTTTCAATTTCCAATTGTTCATTGCTGGTATCTAGAGATATGATTCAGTTTTGTGCATTTCTCTTGTACCCTGCAATCTTGCCAAACTCCTTTATCAGTTCTAGTAGCTTTTTCTGTAGGTTTTCACCAGATTTTCTACATAGACAATTATGTAGTCTGTGAAAGTACTTTTACTCCTTCATTTCCAATCTGGACAACTTCTCTTTTTCTTGCATTATTATAGCAGCTGGGACTCCAGGACAATATTTCATAGGAGTGGTAAGAATCTAAACATCATTGTCTTGATCCTGGTCTTAGGGGAAGAACTTTTAGTAGGGTATTAGCTTTTAGTTTTTCAAAGATACCCTTTACCAGGTTGAGGAAATTGGTTTTTATCCCTAACTTGTTGAGATTTTTAATCAGGAATGGATGTTGAATTTTTTCAGATGCTTTTTCTACATCTATTGAAATGATCATATCTTTTTTCTTCTTTACTTTATTAATATGGTGAATTACATTGATGGGTTTGGGAATGTTAAACCAACTTTGCATACTTGGGACAAACCCCAGTTGCTCACTATGTGTTTTCCTTTTTATATATTGTTAAATTTGATTTGCTAAAATCTTGCTGAGATTTTTTGCATCTATGTTCCCAAGGGATATTAATCTGTAGTCTCCTTTTCCTGTAATGCCTTCAGCTGGTTATATATAAAGATAAAGCTGGCCTCATAAAATGCATTGGAAAGTAGGCCCTCTTTCTCAATTTTCAAGAAAAGTTTGGGTAGTATTGGTATTGCTTCTTCTTTAAATATTTGCTAGAATTCACTAATGAAGCTGTCTGAGCCTGGAGTTTTGTTTGTGGGAAGATTTTTAACTACAAATTCCATTTCTGCATAAGATAGGGGCTGTTTAGCTATTTCTTCCTGAGTGAGCTTCAGTAGTTTCTGTCTTTTTGGTCCATTCTACCTAAGCTGTCAAATTACTAGCATAATGTTGTTCTTAACATTACTTTATCCTTTTAATATCTGAAGACTCTATAGTGATGTCACTTCTCTCATTCCTGATATTGGTAATCTCTTTTTTTTTCCTGATTAGTCTGACTAAAGGCTTATCAATTGTATTGATCTCTTCAAAAAACCAGCTTTTGGTTTCATTGATTTTCTCTATTATTTTTCTATTTTTCATTTTATTTGTAGCCACTCTGATCTTTATTTTTTCTTTCTTTTACCTTGGTTTTAACTTGTTTTTCTTTATGTACTTTCTTAAAGTGAAGGCCTAAGAGGCCTTTCTTCCTTTCAAATATCAGTATTGAATGCTTAGCTTATCTATCTCTTAAGTACTCCACACCCAGTGTGGAGCCCAACCTGGGGCTTGAACTCACGACCCTGAGATCAAGACCCTGAGATGAAGGGTCAGATGCTTAACCAAATAAGCCACCCAGGCGCCCCCTTTAAGTCCTTCTTTAAAGGCATTTTACAACTTTTTGTGTCATGTTTTCCTTTTTATCCAGTACAAAGTACTGTTTACTTCTTTTATTTCTTTTTTGACCTATGGATTTTTTACAAGTATGTTAATAGGATTTCCAAATATTTGGGGATTTTCCAGAAATCTTTCTGTTATTGATTTCTAACTTCATTCCACTGTGTTGTATTTAAATTATTTTCCCTTTATGGAGACCTGTTTATGGCCATCATAATAAAAGTTTCCTATGCCTTTGAAAAGAAAGGGGGCAGCAATTAGGTCAAGTAAGTTGATGGTATTCTTTCAGGCCATCTATATCCTTACTGATGTCTTGTCTCTGTGTTCTATCAATGTATAAAATCAGCCATGTTGGGTGGGGGGCAGGGATTTCTATCACAGAAGTTGACAAACACTACACATTTGGTGGCCTTATTTTCCTCAGAGAGCCTATGGCTAACATTTGCCAGCAGCCTCCCCCCAACCCCCACCTCAGACCCAGTGCTCTGTGTTTTTTTTGTTTTTTGTTTTTTTTTAAAGATTTTATTTATTTATTTGACAGAGAGAGACAGCGAGAGAGGGAACATAAGCAGGGGAAGTGGGAGAGGGAGAAGCAGGCTTCCCGGCGAGCAGGGAGCCCGATGCGGGGCTCGATCCCAGGACCCTGGGATCATGACCTGGGCCGAAGGCAGCCGCTTAACCGACTGAGCCACCCAGGCATCCCTGCTCTGTGTTTTGACAAGCTCTAAGGTGATTCTGGTGCCCTGCTCATAGTTGAGACCTGCCCCGAATGTCTCCACTGGGCACTTCCTAGGACCCCTTCCATGTCTTACTACTTACTGTCACAAAAGGATTGGGAAAGCACACTGCCTCAGCTCCCCTGCCTCTCTCCCCACCCCCACTCCCACCCAGTGCCTGAGTACAGCGCTAGGATCAAAGCCATGCTCTTGATGTGTGCAGGCAGGAGGGATCTGGGCAGCCCAAAGCCAGTTCTGAAGTCGCCTTGCTGTGGTAGGAGCCCACTGGGATTCACCGGGTGAGAAGAGAACGGTGGGTCCCAAAGTCCAGGCTGGTTCCCCACGATAGCTTCTTGCACAGAGTCAGCCCGCAGCTGCTACCACAAATGAGAGGCAAAGCACTCCCGCATCACACATGGCTGGGTGAACCCCGGCTTGCCCTTGCTAGCAGTGGGACGAGGAGCTGCTCGCCTTACCTCTCCAACCTCCCTCTGCTCGTCCAGGAAGATGAGAATAGTACTACCTGCCCCATGCAGCCTCCAGAAAGATTAAATCCAATCATTTCAACAAAGAGCCGGGAATATAGAACAAGCTCCATAAGCAGTAGCTATTATTGCTTTTCTGTGTAGCTGGAGTAGAAAGTAACATCCATGTCAACAATGTTATTCCCATTTTATGGGTGACAGATTTCAAGGCACAGAGGAATAAAGCACAGTGCCCCGAATCACACAGTTACTGAAACAGCAAACACCAGAAGCCATCCCGTTAGCCAGTGATGGATCTTGTCCACACCCTCGAATGAGCACATTTCACCATCCTGGGGCTGCACTCCTAATTTATTTCCAGTAGCTCCAGATTCCCTAGCAAGAAAGTAACTGATAATTCAGTTACAACAATTACCAGCTGGTTCTCTGGCTTATTGCTACAATTTCTCTAAAGCAAGTCTGTGTGGGCAAAGACGTGGTCCTGCCTTTACATTGCTTCTGCAAGAAAAGGTCTGTCCAAGGGTCCCTGCAGCACAAGACCCCAGCAGCAATGGAGAGGCTCCCAGAAATTGCTGGGAAAAGGTGGCGTGGGGAGATGAGCGCTCTGTGAGCACACGAAGGAGTTGGGAGCGGGAGGCGATGTGATCGTGCCCCTCACTGGGGCAAATGCAGATGCAAGGATGCTTTTGCTATGTGCCAGGCACTGCTGTAAGAACTTCTCAAGTACTCATTCATTCAATGCTCACAACAGCCCCACAAAGTACTATTATTATCCCTACTTCATGAATAACAGAATTGTGAGGTTGCACAGAGGGGTTAAACAATTTGTCTGAGGTCACACAGCCAGTAAATAACTGGCCAGGATTTGAACCCAGACAGTTAGACTATAGGAATGGAGTTTAAAATAGGTTTCTCATGGAAAGAGCCAAAAATGTATAGTCAGAGTCACCTGCTGTCTTAAATGAGCAAACCTGAACATGAGCAAAATGAAAAAAGCCACAGCAGAGATCAGTCACTAACAGAGAAAGGGAAGCTCTGCCTAGCCCTGTGGGTGGGCAAAAGGCTGGTGTAAAGGTGGTTGTGACATCACCCCATCTAGAGCAGGACCCCCTGAACATCTGGTATCTCAATGCCCCTGAGAAGTGGGAGTTACTGTGCCATTGTCCCGATGTGGAAGCTGAGATTCAGAGAAGTTAAGTAGTCTGCCTGAGGTCACACAGCCCAGAAGTGTAGGGCTAAGACTCAAACCCAGCATACTTGTCCCTATACCCCATTCTCTTTCTCTGCATCTTTTATAGCCTGACTGCTGGATTCCAGCATCGGAGAGTAGGGTGGGCTCACCCCCTGTCATGTACACACACGGGTACCCCAGGCACAAGGTGGCATGATCTGTGCTGGGTACCTCCTGTGTGGTAGCTGACTCCCACTGAACAATAAATGAAATCCCACCCACTGGGAGGGGGCAGGGCTGGACTCATCGATCTGTTGATCCTTCCTCCCATGGCCGTCAGCTCGGGGCCAGTTCCATACAAGAAGCCAGCCCCGGTGTGCCAGCATTCCTGTCCCTGACCCTCTACAGCCTTAAACTCAGGCCCCAGGAAGGCTGCAGATGGGTGCATTGGAATGGGTAGTGAGGGGGTGTGGATGATGCGGGCCTACCTCCCTGCTCCAGATTTGCATTTCCGTGCCTTAACCAGGGAGTAACAATTCCAGACAGTCCCGGCCCTGCCTGTGGGCAGACTCTTGCAACCGTGTTTGTAAACCATAATGCCCACCCCACTCTACCAGGGACCCCAGGCGGGCTCCTCGCAGTACCCAGTCTGACCCTGCAGCCCCACCCTCTCTCTCCAGGAGCCCTTTCCCCTCCATCTCATGCCTCCTGTGTTTGTGTCTGTCTCTTCGTTTTAGGGATTTATTTCTCTACAAGGGACCCGGGTGACTGAACTTCTTCCTGGCCCTGAGGACCCAGGGAAGCACCTCTTTGAGATCAGCCCAGGTAGGCCTGAGCATCTTTTGGCTCTGTGCTGGGGGCGGGGGGGGGGAGGGGGGGCCTGGCGCTGGTGGCCCCGATTGGGGCATCACCGAGCCTCTGGCCCATAAAGCAGACCTCCTTCAGGATGCTCCTCCCTGTAGGAACATCAGCACTGCCTCCAAAGCCAACTCAGAAATTTGGGCCAAATCTAGAGAATATTGTAAATTTGGGCGAGTATTAGAAAATCCAGTTGGGACGCCTGGGTGGCTCAGTCGTTAAGCATCTGCCTTCGTCTCAGGTCATGATCCCAGGGTCCTGGGATCGAGCCCCGCATCGGGCTCCCTGCTCTACGGGAAGCCTGCTTCTCCCTCTCCCACTCCCCCTGCTTGTGTTCCCTCTCTCGCTCTCTCTCTCTCTGTCAAATAAATAAATAAAATCTTTAAAAAAGAAAGAAAGAAAGAAAGAAAGAAAGAAAGAAAGAAAGAAAGAAAGAAAGAAAGAAAGAAAGAAAGAAAGAAAGAAAACCCAGTCAACTGAGTAATTAGCTTTTGGGCAAGAGGAAAATATGGATTTTAAAATTCACAATAAACGCAAGGGAAACCAGTCAATGGGGACATCTTAAGGCAAAGGTCCAAACACAGCATCTGGATCATATGCAGTTAAGTCCAGGGAAAACCCACCAGCACAGGTACAGAGCGTTAAAGTAAGCTCTTTGGTGGATGTCAGAACAGAGAATGGCGACGTGGTGGGAGGAAGGGAAATATTGTAACCCAAGAAGCCGTGTCATGTTAGCAGTTACAAAACCATCTTTTAAAATTCCCAGTTTTAAAATGTGATCGTTGCGGAACGAAATAGATGTGTCTTGAAGATGAGCTAGTCTGCTTCTAGAAGGGCTGCTTCCTCAGGTGCTGTTTTTCTACCTCGGCTTCCCCTAGACGCAGAGCCTGAGACAAGGCTTTGAGCAGTTTTTCAGAGCGGATTCCCAAAAAGTAGGGGGAAGGGAGCAGGGAGGGAGGAAAGCCATGCAGGGTGTGCTAGTGAGCTGACTGCTGCTGTGGGAACCCAGGTTCTATTCCAGCAGGGGCGGTGGAGACTGCGGGGAGCGGGCCGCGGACCTGTCCTACCCCTGGAGCAAGGAGGCTGGGGGTGACCCACCTGCTTCCACCGTCCCACTATTAATTCCGCCAGCGGCCTCCCAGGAGCTAAGTCTGGCATCTCTGGCCTGCCCGAGGCATGGCCAAGCTCCCTACAGACACAGAAGCCTTGAGGGAGCATCGCCCTCGTGCTTGGGAATAGCGAGAGCTGGGGCTGTGGACAGGGCATGGGTGACGGGCGACTAGTCATCTGGTGCCACCATTTAGACTTCCTTCTGGGAAGTGGTGGTTGTGAACTGAGTGTGCCAGGGTCTCACTGGGCTCTGTGAACCAAGCGGTTTACAGTCTCCAATCAGTCTGAGGGGTTGAACCGACTATCATCCGGGCACCAAGGGAGGGATCAGGCCAGGCTCAGGCCAGCCAGCCCTAGCCTGTGGGGAGCTGCAGTGAGTGCAGCCAAGCCTGGGGCAGGGCCCTGTTCACCTCTGCTCTGTCCACACTGGGAATTACAGAAGACACAGGCAGAAGGTGATGTGCAGGGAGCCCCTCCCCAATTTCACGTCCTGGATGCAAAATGCAAGAACCCACGGTTTCATTTGGGTTTTCCTACATGGGTATTTAATCTACTGCAAAACCCTTGGTACTAAAACTGCACATTGGAAGGGGGCAACAGAGGGGTCCCAGAGTGTGGAGTGGAAAAGAGAAGCTTGGTTGACTATGGAACAGGGGCAAAGGCTTCTGCAAAGAAGATAGGGAAGAAATGGAGAGGGCTGTGAGGTGGACAGGGCCCGGCCATCTGCGGGAGGGGGAGCAGGCCTGGGAAGGGAGGCTGGGGGATGGGCCAGGGGCCCTGGGCTTGGCAATCAGGGAGGAGGAAGGCGGTGAGGCTGGAACTGAAAGGTAGAGGTCAGCACACCCTCGCCATGAACTCAGCAAGGCCCTGAGCGTGTGCCCCAAGGACCAGATGGGAGAAATCACCAGTGTGCATGCTCTTGGTCTGGGTCAGAGCTATTTACAAGGATTTCTTTGCCTGTGGGGGGAAGAAGACCCATTTGCCATGTAAGGCAACATTCATGGGTCCTGGGGATTAAGATGTGGACACCTCTGTGGGACCATTATTCTGTCTACCCCATGCTCAAAACATCCCTCTAAGGGAGAAGTCCTTTTATGACTGTTTTATTTAAAAAGACCCTGGGGGTTAGAAAGGATAAGCAGCTTGCCCAAGTACGCACAGCTAGATGGTAGCAGAGCTCAGGGCTGGTATCTGTCGCTACCCCCCTGCCTTTGCACACACAGCCCTCCTGAAGTCCTGGGGGCCCGGTTCGGGTGGGACTGGGGGTGAAGGCAGCTGTGAGGCAGCTCAGGGAAAGCGGGTCGGTGGTGGGCAGAGAGGGGTCTGCTCAGCCTTTGTGGAGCACTGAGCAGGAAAGGCTCAATGGTCTCTCCGGGCCCATCACTGTAGCTGCAAAAGGCCAGGTGGGGTGTGTGTATTGCCACACCCAATACCCCGGAGGGGAACACTTAACAACTCTTAGAAATGTGGCAGAACCCAAGTAGGATAATGCATAAGATCAACTACATGAATTTTAAGTTGTAGTTCTATTTTTGTTCTTCAACAGTATAAAAAAATCCCAAGTTTCATCAAGATAGAATTAAAAGAGGCAATAGAAGAGGGGGAAAAGAAAAAAAAAAAAAAAATTATACTATGAGCGCCATCTAGTGGAGAGACCTGCCAATTACATGACAGGCCTACAGGTCCTCCTACCTGCACCCCGCAACCCCTATTTCAACACACCACTATTTCAACCAGGCCACACCATGATTGTGGCTGGGCTCCCACAGAAACTAAGTGGTGGGACTGAAGCTTGAGCCACCTCTAAACCAGAGTCTAAACCAGAGTCCTGGGTCAGGTGGAAGGAACGAGGCCCCAGAAAGGGGCTGGGACTCAAGGACCCTGGGTCTCCTAACCACCTGGCCTCTTCTGCCCAGACGGTTGCCTAGTGTGATCTTGTGGTTTGGATTAAGATAGATATAGATAGATATATATAGATACAGATATAGATATTTGGTGTTCACCCTGGTTCCAGGCACATAGTTCCTAAAACCCTCAGAATTTCCTAAGTGAAGACTAGTAGTAAAGGTGTCTTTTGTTATGTTAATGAGATGACTTTTGGAGAGCCCTCAGGTCATCTAAGGATGGATACTGGTTATCAGGGGAACCGACCAGGTGTTTAGAAGATTGGAGCTTTCAGGTCGACCTCCGGGTAGGGAGAGGGACTGAATATTGAGTTCAGTCACCAATGGCCAGTGATTTAATCAGTCATACCTATGTAATGAAGCCTCCATTAAAAAAAAAAACAAAAAAGAGAGGGTTTGCAGACCTTCCAGGCTGGTGAACACGTGGAAATCTGGGGAGGAGAGGGCACACAGGGAGGGCAAGGAAGCTCCACATGCCTTCCCACATACCTTGCCTTATGTAGCTCTTCCATCTGGTTGTTCCTGAGTTATAACTTTGTATAATCAACCAGTGATCTAGAAACGAAAATGTTTCCTTGAGTTCTGTGAGCCGCTCTAGCAAATTAGTCAAACCCAAGGAGGGGCTTGTTGGAATCTCAGATCTATGGCCCATTGGTCAGAAGCACAACATGGCCTTGGCGATTGGCATCTCAAGGTGCGGGGAGGCAGTCTTGTAGGACTGAACCCTTTACCTGTGGGATCTGACATTTTCTCCAGGTAGATAGTGTGAAAATAGAGTAAGTTGTAGGATGCCCAGCTGGTGTTGGAGAACGGCTTGGTGATGTGGGGAAAAACCCACACACTATAATTAGTGACCAGAATTTTACCTGGCAAACCCCACTGCCTCCCGGCCCTTTGAAAGCTGTCTGCCCCTTGCAGACTTGATCCTGCTGGGCTCCTGGTCTTGGCAAAGTGGGCATCCACCCCAGGCCATGTTCAGGAGTCCCTCCATATACACAGGGGCGGAGTGAGGAGTGGAGAGGCCTGCTTTGGCACTGTGGACAGAAAGAGTTGCTAAATCCACAAGATGTTTGTGTCTGATGGAACGAATTAGGTAATCAATAAAGCAAGCGCAACTTGTTTCAAATATTCTTCTTCTGGTATTAGCACAGTGTTACCAAATGGAGGCAGGTCAGTTGCCTACAGGGGTTTAGATGGGAGCCCTAAGTCTTTCTGGTGAGTAAACTCATGACTATCATGTCTCCTCCATCACTGGTATGTCTTTCAAGAGTCCTGATTGCAGGTGAAGCCAGCTCAGGCTAACTCAGGCAAAGGGAGAATGGGCCAGAGGTTGTGGGGCCACAAAGAATCATCGGGAAGCTGGGGCACTACCTGTGGAAGGGGCAGGCAGCAGGGCTGCTCAGTGGTCCTGGAGGCAGGAACAGAGTGCAGGTCAGTACTATGAGCTGGAAAGGTTGAATCCCAGCGGACTCCTCAGTCTTGGTATCGATTGCTCAAGTCGGGAGTCTTGGTGTTTGTGTTTTGGCCACAGGCCTGTGCCTGATGACACTGGGGTGCTAAGGAAACGCCTGTCCACTCCAGCGTCTGGACAGACCCTCCCACTGAGACTTCACACAGTGGGAGCAAGGAGGCCCCAAAGGGACCCTGGTGCCTTCACGAAGGGAGAGGAAGTGACCATCTCCACCAAACATGCACTTCACCAGACACAGTCTATGGTTCTGTTTTTTTGAGGGCCAGGTGTCACGTCATTGGCCTTGGCCTCTCTGCACACCGGGCCCCAAGATGGGATGCCTTTCCAGGCGCATCTCCTCCTGGGAGCGCAAGGACCCCAGCATGTGTGGCTGAGGATGAGCCCTTGTGGGACATGAAGGGCCGCTGCCCTGAATCTGAGGGGACGGACGGAGGAAAGTGCTGTCTCCTTGAGCAGGAAGACACAGAGGATATAATGGCTGTTCCGAAGTCTGGGCCCCATTCCCACGGTGGAACGCCTGTCTGCTTTGGGCCCGCAGACTATCTTTCTCAAGATAAAGCGCGGCAGACTCCAGTGGAGGCCGCCCAGCTGAGGCCTGGCAGGCACTCCACTCTCCCACGGAGCTCCCAGACTGCCTCCCCTCAACTCCTCGAACACCCTGAGGGCAGCCAGCCCCGGGTGGGGGGTGCCTCTGACATCTTGGGTGTTCAGCTCTAACCAGGGTTGGGGGGTTGAGGTTATAGGCAAAGCGAGCAATGGCACTGCGTGGAATTCAGGGAGCTGTCAATTGGGCCCAAACGTGGCAGCGATGCAGGTGTTCCCCAGGGGTAGCCTGGTGTCTGCGTGCAGAAAGGGGGGCCCTGGGGAGAGAGTCAGGAGGCCGAACCCAGGCGCCACCTCTCTTCACGCCTGCTTTCTGCACTCTCCCAGCAGGGCATGGTGTCCCCGTAGCATCTGGCTCTAGCTGATGTTCCAGACTGCCCATCTCGCCAGGAGTCAGGACAAGTCACTGAATATCCCTGTGCCTGTGTTTCCTCACTTGTAAACTGAGGGTAGTAATAGAGCCAAGGGCCTCGGGTTTTGGGGAGGATGCAGTGAGATACCCGAGCCCGGCTCATAGGAGGTACCTGCTATTTTTACATCCTTCCCTCCTCCCTGCAGTCTCTCTGTTTACTGTTATTATTAATCATAACAGCACAGTCACTGCTTAGCTAATACCTGCAAGTCAACAATTCCGATACAGTGTGAGAAGTGCTCTGACAGGTGTCCCCAGGGCTGAGAGCCCAAAGCTAGGAGGGAGGGTGACTTGCCTGGGGGGGTTAGGGAAGGTTTCACTCTTCCAGACGACCTCCAAGGTGCCACCCAGAAAGAATGGGTTCTAGCAGTTTCTCCCGGCTGCACAGGGTCTTCGAAGCCACTCTGGGCCCTGAGCTTGCAGCTGCCTGTCCTTATCCGCCAGCAGCTCGGAGCAGTTAGGAGCACTGCCACCCACTATCTCTGAGGCCTGACCTTGAAACGAAGCCAGCACACACAGATTACCCCCAGAAGTAGACTGATACCGCGCTCCTGACCTCCACAGAGCATCGCTCATCTCATTAGCCGCCTCCGGAGCGGGATGCTGAGCTCGGCCTATCTCGGCACCTGGTACCAGCCAGCCTGCGTATCAGCCTGACCTCACGAGGCCCCGCTGAGTTTGCCTGCCAAGCGCCAGACGATGGGTAATGACTAGAAATGCAATCAGATGAGAAGTTCACCCGCGCTCCTCACCCCCGGGAGTGGGAGAATCAGCAAGTCCGAGAGTGGTTGCTTGGACTTCCCGGCTTTGCGGTCCGGCCCTCCTGTCCTAACCCCACTCTGCCCAACTAAACACAGAAACAGGTGTGGGAAGCTCCCCCCAGGGTCCCTGGAAATAGATGTCCTTGAAGAGGAACGTTCAGTTCATTCTTTTGGCCAAAATCAGGCTCCAGAGCAGCTCTGTTCCATAGAAACCCAATGTAAGCCACGTTTGTAATGAAATGAACCATCCTGTTGCTCATTGACACCAGCCACATTCCACATGTGTCTGGTGAACCGAGGTACCCAGTGAGCTGCAATGAGGAGGGGACTCAGTGTAGTGCTTGGCATGGGACAGGTGTTTAGCAAGCACCCTTAAAAGGAAAGAGAAGTGGGGAGGGCGGAAGAAGAACTGGGGAAAAGCCTGGGCTTTGGAGTCAAACCCAGATTCAGCTGCTCGCTGATTTGTAGAACTGGGACCAATCATTTAAATTCTGAGTCTTCTTTTCACTGTCTGATAATAGAAATAAGCTTGGCAAGATAGCTGTGACCATCAAGTGAACTAAGATACATGGATGCGCAGAGGACACTTCCCCCACCTTCTGCTACCTGTTCTCTCTCTCCTTCCTTCCTTCCTTCATTCCTTCCTTCCTCCATTCCTTCCTTCCTCTCATTCTTTTTCTTTCCCCTTCCTTCCTTCCTTCTTTCTTTCCTTCCTCTCTTCCTTCCTCCCATTCTTTCTTTTTCTCCTTCCTTCCTTCCTCCCATTCTTTTTCTTTTCCCTTCCTTCCTTCCTTCCTCCCATTCTTTTTCTTTCCCCTTCCTTCCTTCCTTCTTTCTTTCCTTCCTTTCTTCCTTCCTCCCATTCTTTCTCTTTCTCCTTCCTTCCTTCCTCCCATTCTTTTTCTTTCCCCTTCCTTCCTTCCTTCTTTCTTTCCTTCCTTTCTTCCTTCCTCCCATTCTTTCTCTTTCTCCTTCCTTCCTTCCTTCCTCCCATTCTTTCTCTTTCCCCTTCCTTCCTTCCTTCTTTCCTTCCTTTCTTCCTTCCTCCCATTCTTTCTCTTTCTCCTTCCTTCCTTCCTTCCTTCCTCCCATTCTTTCTCTTTCTCCTTCCTTCCTTCCTTCCTTCCTTCCTTCCTTCCATTCTTTCTCTTTCTCCTTCCTTCCTTCCTTCCCTCCTTCCTTCCTTTCTCTTTCAACTCCTATCTGCCATACACAAGCAAGCTTCAAATAAGATTTCAAATTTCTTTGGTCTATTGTTTAAAAAATAGGAATCTTAGCTCTACAGCAGTTATTCTCAGACTTCCCTGTGTTGCAGAATCCCCTGGAGAGCTTGTTAAAACCAGGCTGCTGGGCTCATCCCCAGACTCACGGGATTCCAGAACTCTGGGGTGGGGACTGAGAACCTGCATTTACAACCATCTCCCCCAGGTGATGCTGAAGCTGCTGGTCTGGGAATCACACCCTGACAGGTCCAAAGAGAACTCACAAAAGAAAAGAATACATTTCCTATTGAATACCCTCCTCAATGGCACTGTTTTCCTGCTTGTTGAGGACGGAGCCCTGCATTTTTTTTTTCTTTCTCAAAGATTTTATCAAAGGTCTTTACAGATTAAAATCCAGTCTCCAGATCGAGCTGCCAAAGGGACCCTGTTATGCTGTGGGTACATCTCTGTTCCGAGATGGGGGTGGTGGGCAGTATCTCATCTTTGGGTTCCACAATGCTCCCATGATCCGGCAGGGGCTTCTTAGGGCCAGTCTTACCCCTTGGGTCCCAGGGAAGCATGACCTTCACTTTGATGCCCAGCACACCCTGTCTGAACAGCACGTGGTGCACAGCAGTGTCAGCATAGCCGTTAACAGGGTCCCCACTGTGAATCATCAGGCCATCCACAAACTTCATGGATGTAGCCCTCTGTCCTCGGAGTTTCCCAGATACCACGACCTCACCGCCTTTGGCCCCACTGTCCATGCACACCATGGCAGGCCCTCCACACAGCGAGGCCTCCTAGGAGTTTGAAACGCAGAGATTCTGCCTGGGCAACAGCGCACAGACCTCTTGTGGTCACCTTTTTGGCACAAAGTGCTACACTGCCCTCAGGGAAACCACACCTCTTCTGAAGCACAGCAGTCAATTCCCGATCCGCCGGCCCTTCTCACCAAGAACATTCTGCGTCCTGGTGGCCAAGATAATCATTTCTGTCCTGGTTGGCGTAACTCGGACCTCAACCCCGGAGTAGCCATCTTCAGCCAGCTCCCGAGGGAGGAACTCATCCAGTTCAGCTTTGAAGATGCCATCAGCGACAAACTTCCCCTTCTTGGAAATTTGCATCGCCATTTTGCCGCCATGCGCCGTGGAAAGGAAAGGCGAGCCCTGCATTTGTATTTTGCTTTGGGCGCCACTAATTCTGCAGCCAGTCTGGAGGACAGTGGAAGCGCAGCCGCAGGGGTAAGGAGCCCGGAGGCTGTGTTTACAGGGATGAGTCTGGAATAAAGAAGGTGCCATCCGGGGCCATGGCCAATTCTGGCACTGTGCTAGGACAGACTGACGCAAACGGGCTGCCTCCAACACGGGAGGAGGCTGGAGGCCACCACACTTACCTGCAGCTCTGAGCTCCCCGCCCCAGACCCCCTCTCCACAATAAGCCTCTTTAAGGATAGAGTTCAAAAGCCAGACCCAGCACCTACTAGCTACGTGACCTTGGGCAAGTTGCTGACTTCTCTGTGGCTCAGTTTCCTCATGCACAAAACGCAGATGATTAAAGTATCTATTGCTTCGGTTAGGAATGGGGGTGAAAGAGTGGGTGGGACTGGAAGGGGTAGCAGAGGGAGACTCAGGATGATGGTACAGTTAAGTGTCTTGACTGCGGTGATGGTTTCATGCAATAAAATTGCATAGTGCCCCCCTCAACACACACACACACACACACATATGCACACACACACGAGGCCAGGTATAAGTGGTGGAATCTGAATGGGCTGTGTGGATCGTACCAAGGTCTGTTGCCTGGTTTCAATATTGTCCTGTAATTACGTAGGATGTTTCCCTGGAGGAGGCTGGGGGAGGGTGCACAGGACCTCACTGTACATTTACATTTCTTTGCAACTGCCTGTGAATCTAGAATTATTTCAAAATGAAAAGGTTTTTAAAAATACCTACCCACCCCACAGTGCTGTTGTAACATTGTGCAGCTGTAGCTTAGGGTAATATCTGTGTTAAGTGTTCCATGAAGTTCGACAAGTAGTATAACAGGGTGTCTGCAAGATCAAGAAACAGAAGATGAACTTATTTTTAAAAAGTATGTTGGTAACCTTCCCAAATAGTATATTCAGTCTGCTTTTCTTCAACCACCAGACACCTTTTCCGATAAAATGCCTCTGAATTTAAAGCAATGGCTCCAGTTGTTCATCTTTTAAAAAGTATGACAATACCATACATTCTCCAGATTTTGTAACTTTTTGGACACTCAGTGGTGTGCTTGTCGATGGACATTGTTTCTTAGAAGTATTTCATCTGACAATGCATTAAGATTATTATCTGAAAATCTGCCCAGCATGCTATTCAACAGTTTACTTTCACATTTCCTGACTTTGTAGACACCTGCGTGTGACTCTCCTGCCCCTCATGAGTCTGCCCACCTTCTGTGTGGTTTGCCCCTCGCACGTCTGGTCCCAGACATGTTTGCCGACTGACTGAGTGAAAGACCACTCACCAAGGAAAACCTGCTAATTCCTCCAAGTGTAACTGATCATGTTCCTGGGGCAGCAACAGAAATTAGTTCCTCATGTTAATATTTTTCTGCAGGACACAAGCAACGTGAGATTCTTTTTTTTAAGGTTTTATTTATTTATTTAAGAGAGAGAGGCAGGGGGAGAAGAGGGAGAGGGATAAGCAGACTCTGTGCTGAGAACGGAGCCCAGCGTAGAGCTCAATCTCACGACCCTGAGATCATGACCTGAGCCAAAACCAAGCGTCGGATACTCAACCTACTGAGCCACCCAGGCGGCCCACAACATGAGATTCTTAAGGTGATTTGTTGAGTTTCTTTTTAGACAGGGAAGTGAGAAGGGTACCCTACCACGTATTGGCCTAATCTTCCTAACACTCTGGTGAGTGGACGTAATGTCCCTGTCTCACAGATGTGGAAACTGGCACAGAGGGGCGACTTGTCCAAGGTCACAGAACTAGTAGAAAGTGGAGTCCAGGCTCTATGCCGCCCCAGGGTGTCACCCTTACGCAGGCAGGTGCTAGGTACCAAAGCTCTGAGACATGGAGGGGCACAGACAGAAATTCCTCAGCTAGAGATACCGTATCTGATAGGGAAGAGGCAAACGTTCAGGAGGCACGCTCCGTGCCAGCTCAGAACAAAGATGTTGATAAAATTCTTTACAAGTGATCTCAGCGAGACTAAATCTCCGGATAAATTAAGATCAGGGGAGGAATGTGGCAGGGAATTAGTGGGGAGGGGGTGGTTGGAGGGCCCAGGTCACCTCCAAAAAGCCAAGCCCAGGTACAGAGGCTCCTCCAATGGGGAGCCTTCAGCTTAGGAACTTTCTTAGACAAAAGGCCAATCTTTAGTCTAGATCATTCCTTCACCTGGTGTGGTCCATGGACCTGCTGCATCGGCATCACCTGGGAGCTTGTTGGGAATGCAGATTCTCAGGCCCCGCCCGGAACTCCTGAGACAGAAAATGTGTGATAGCAGCGTGTCCTGGTGACCTGTGTGCACATTCAAATGCAGGAAACGCTGCCTTCGAGGCAACCAATGCCCACGGACTGTGAGCGCCTGCAGGCAAGGATCGCGCTTGTGTGCTCAGAGCCTGGTGCCTGGCTTCTGAAGGCGCTTGATAAATTAAACCAATGAAGGAGCAATAATTCAGAGCAGGAAGAGAGCTGAGAGTGGTGGTAGAGAGAGGCAAACAAGGACAAGAAATTGGGTCTAGCTCTCAGGCTACAAAGGGAGTGGCCAACCAGGGCCAATTACCCAGCAGCGGACTCTGGCCCACAGGAAGAATGGTGTTTGGCTCATGGAATATTTTTCAAAGCAAAAAGTTTTACTTATGGAAAATACCAACTTCGATAGAGTAAATGTGGGTCGCTTTCTCCATAAGAACAGTGAGCAGCAGCTCAATAACAGGTCCCTCGGAGACAGAGCTTGATGGCTCTCCATTTGGCTAAGATCCCCACCACTCCCTAAGGTACCCCACCTGCTTCCTCCGTTCATCGTCCATGCCTGATCTCTCTATAAAGGTTCGAGTCCGTGAACCCTAGTGTGGCTGATCATAAGCTCAAATCAGAGACGGCTAGAAAATGATAGGTGTACGTTGACTGAATCATTTGACACCTCCAGGCATTCCTCACGTGGGGTTGTGGTTAAGGGCGAGGTGTTCAGTCACGCTGTCTGAGATTCAGTTTTGTCTCGGCCTCTTCCCAGGTCTGGGGGCCTGAGTGAGTCACCTAACCCTCACGCTGCGGGCTCTTCGTCTGTAAAATGGCCTCCATAGAAGCAGAGCATAAAGCCCCACGCCTGGCACGTGGTTAGCCGGAGCTAATTTGCAAGACATTAGCCCTTGCGGCTGCCAGAGCAAGATGACACACAGGTATACAGACAGGCATTTATTCCCTGCATTGCTAATATTTCCACATGAACGATGGCGATTATTCATTTATGATTACGTTAATATCAGTATGTTCCCTATAAAGGTGTACCTATTCCATAAATGTTTAAAATTCAGTGAGGCTAAATAGTTTATACACTTGAACATGTATACTTATCAAAAGCCTGAAATAAAAACATAAGCCTATGAAATAGAAGCATTAAAGATATATTAGCAGATTAACTTAATAAAAGAGTCAAACATGGCAGACCAATCCCCATGAAATCAAGAAAATTTTAATAATTGGGATGCCTGGGTGGCTCAGTCGGTTAAGCGTTTGCCTTCGGCTCGGGTCATGATCCCAGGGTCCTGGGATCGAGCCCCGCATCGGGCTCCCTGCTCGGCGGGAAGCCTGCTTCTCCCTCTCCCTCTCCCCCTGCTTGTGTTCCTGCTCTCGCCGTCTCTGTCTCTGTCAAATAAATAAATAAAATCTTTAAAAAAAAAAAAAGAATTCTTAGGGGCGCCTGGGTGGCTCAGTTGGTTGAGCGACTGCCTTCGGCTCGGGTCATGATCCCAGAGTCCTGGGATTGAGCCCCGCATCGGGCTCCCTCCTCAGTGGGAAGCCTGCTTCTCCCTCTCCCACTCCCCCTGCTTGTGTTCCTGCTCTCGCTGTCTCTGTCTCTGTCAAATAAATAAATAAAATCTTTAAAAAAAAAAAAGAATTCTTAGGGGCGCCTGGGTGGCTCAGTTGGTTGAGCAACTGCCTTCGGCTCAGGTCATGATCCCAGGGTCCTGGGATCAAGTCCCGCGTCGGGCTCCCTGCTCTGCGGGGAGCCTGCTTCTCCCTCTGCCTCTGTCTCTCTCTCTCTCTCTGTCTCTCATGAATAAATAAATAAAATCTTTAAAAAAAAAAAAGAAAATTTTAATAATCACAAACACTTGAAATGAAATACTATTTGATGTTACTCTTGAATCGTGAGCCTATTTTTGTGCACATTTTTTTTTCTAGCTGTCACAAAAAATTTTTCACTCTGCGCTGGTGAGGAGAGTGCTCCAAGCTAAATTTCAGGCTAACTCCGAATATTATCCTTTGAGTTCTTCATCTTCAAATAACCCATTTCTCATTTGATACTTTTGAGATTTTTATTTTTGTCCCCCTTTTTTGTTGTTCTTAGCAGCGACTACATCTTTTAATTGATTAGTAGCTCTGGTTGTATTTCAAAAGAAGAGTTTCGGGATTGCCTTCATCTTCTCGAGTGTTCTCCTGGGTAGGTGGAGATCCTAGTGGGCCGGGTCGATGGATCGCCTGGAGCAATCTCTAGGCTGTTGGGTCTGAATGCCACGGGTTGGGAGGTCTTTGAACCAGAACAAGGGTTTATGGTGTGACAGAGTCACCTTGGGTTTCCTGCCTCCCCTCTGGATGATGGAGAAATAGAAAACCACTTTCTAAACAAGTTTACTTTTACTGGATCCAAACTTCTACTGCAGGCTATCCCGTGTGTAAATGATTCCAATTTTTAAAAAAAATATATCACAAAAATGCCCATAGTTCAGCACTTTTTATTTTATTTTATTTATTTTATTTTATTTTTTTAAAAAGATTTTATTTATTAACTGAGGGAGAGAGAGAGAGAATGAGTGGGAGGGGGGACAGAGGGAGAAGTAGGCTCCCTGTGGAGGAGGGCCAACGTGGGACTCAATCCCAGGATTCTGGGATCATGACCTGAGCCGAAGGCAGATGCTTAACTGACTGACCCTCCCAGGTGCCCAGTTAGCACTTTTTAAAAGCACATTATTCTGGGGGCGCCAGGGTGGCTCAGTTAAGCGTCTGACTCTTGATTTCAGCTCAGGTCATGATATCAGGGTCAAGAGATAGAGCCCCACATGGAGCTCTGTGCTCAGCTTGGAGCCTGCTTGGGATTCTCTCTCTCCTTTTCCCTCTGCCCCTCCCCCACCATGCTCACATGCATGCATGCGCTCGCGCTCTGTCTTTCTCTCTCAGAAAAAAAAGAAAGG